AAAGGTATTTTTTTCTCTTTCAAGCATTGACATCACCTGACAGATAATGACAGGATTCAGATAATGACAGGATTCAGATTCAGTGCGGTGGAAGCTAAGCAGGCAAAGAAACTTAAGATTCATTTTCCTTCACCATATCCCTCTAGAATATGAAGTATTATACGTTATTGTATATGCAAGATACATTTATATCTGCATTAGGCTGAGGATTTTTCACCTTTGTGGCAGATGCATTGCCTTTTGAAAAAGAGAGTAAAGGCAATGTCAGTTTTGCTGTAGCAAACTTCAATCCACTGAGTTGCCCATGCCCTTACAGCTGGGCTGTAGCGCCTGAAGGCAGTGTTCAGACATGGTACCTTTGGCTCTCTGCCTCATTGTAAGAAAACATAAAAGGGGAGACAATCTTTTGACTGCTGTGCTGGGCCATGGCTTCCTCGGGTTTTTTTGGTGCAATGAAATGTATCAGTGCATCTCTAACATGAACTCGGCTAACTTGAGGCTCCACTGAGGCTTAAGCTGCAAAGACTCCAGTGGCAAATTCAACATGCTATCATGTTGACAGTATACTGGAAAACTGATTGGAGTTTTCTGAAGTAATATCTGTATATATATCATTTTTTCTTGTGTAATTACAAAATAAGCTTTGGGTTTGGTATGATTTTGAGCCTTATCCTTTGCTTTGTTAGAAGAAAACATATTTTTTTGCTGTTAAAATATGTAAGTAATATATTGTTTATGTGCTTATATTTCTCAAAATGATATTTTAGTACCTGTGACTAATAGCTACAACAAGTAAAACTACAGATGTGTAAAACTTTGGCCCAGCCAGAGATGCTTTGATACGTCCCTGATATTTTCAGATGGTAGACGCACAGACGGTTAATGCCATCTATTAGTATACTACTAGTACATCAGATGAAAGGTTCACATTTTGGACTAAGAAAAGTCCATCTTTTCCCTAGAACTCGTTTGATCTAAACAGAAGCTTTAAGCAGATGCAATAATGGAGGAGAGAGAACGGAGTGAGAATTTCACCAAAGGTCGCTGTGTGTCAGTAGTACAGAAGTTTTGTATCTTGAATCCCACTGAAATATTCTGTACAGGCTTTGAAGAATCAATCATTTAGAGATCAGTAGCAGTTTAAAATATATGTACATGTTAAATTTGCAATTTAAGTGGAGAAACATATTGCCATGGTTTTTGTTCACTGTATGGTAAACCTTTTTCTGGACAGCACTTTACTGTTCTGCTTTGTTCTGATCACTGTTATTTTACTGTGTCAGGTAGCAGGGATTTTTAGAAACTCCAGGCAGCACCTTGATCAAAGTAGCTAACTAGCTGTGAGGAAGTCTCAGTACTGAGTCATTGTGAATGAACACTTCTCTATTCACATGCTGACATTGAGGACTGTTATGGGAGGAAATAGAGAAGTTCTGGAGCTTGAGTCTGATTTGAGGGGTTTTATTTATAATTATTCAATAAATTATTTTGAAGCATCAAATAGAACATCTTCAAACAGATTTGATGCCCTTCTCAAATTTTACCAAATCCTGCATGTAGCCAAAAGTACAGGAAAAAAGGCAGTATGAAGTATGAAGTATACAGTATGAAAACCTGGGACCGGTGATTTATTTTTCTTTGAGATTTGGGAATGGGGTCACATTTGTCATCCAGATCCATCCCAATCTTTGCAAGGCTTTCTGACTTGATTATTTTTTAGAGGAAAATTGATGATACCATTAACTAATGAAATGTTTTTAATGTGGCATCTCAGACATATAGTGGGGTAAGACCTAACATATCTCCCTAGCCAATTGAAAGTGGTGTTATATTTTTACTGTGTCAGCAGTGTTTTCTAATCCACCCATATAATAGCAAACCTAGCAGGGCAGAAAACAAATTGAAAGTAATCAGATCCGTACTTCCTATTTACATATAATTAAAACCCAAATTCTCAGTTTTTCTTCCCCCATCTTTCTGTATTTTCTTCTTTTTCTTTCTCTTTTTTTCACTTTATCTTTTCTTAAAAATGACTTCTCCATTGCAGCAGTATCATCTGAGAACAGTCATATGTCACTGAATGCAGGTAAATGTATTTGTGATGGCTTTGGTCTCTTTCCTACATATGCTGATGGATGAGTGGCTAAGGATGAGAAAAAATATACATTCACACTGCAGTGATAGGAATTATATGATTTACTGTCTGAGTACCATTCTGCACCATGGTAATTATCATGATATTAAATAGCTGAGTGTCATCATAGAAGGAACACAAGTCATTAACACAGTCTACATATGATAACTCTTAAACATAATTGCTATGTAATATTTCGGTGATTGAATTAGCATGCAGACATGTTTGCATGCTGCCAGCAAAGCTATGCAAAAAAAAAAAAAAAAAAAAAAAAAAAAAAGAAGCTGCTTAATCAGAGATTACTACTGTTTCTGCCTTTAATTGAATGCTTTTCAAAACATGGTGATTCAGGGACAGTTTTGGAAAAATGTGCCACTTGTACTCGGCCTTGTTAAGGTGTGTAATTTTCTTCGATGAATGACGGGAAGAACACATATGTATAACGGCATCTATGGCATAGGTACAAAAGTGATACTTGCCTTTTCATGGGCATCGTGTTGTGAATCCACAAACCCACAGGAGTCAGGTTAATGTCCTGATCAGCTCTTGATCAGGTGCCTGACTGTTAAGGTAACTTTTGCAGATGTTACAAGATAGTACTAACTGGCCTTAGGGGAAAGATGATATACCCCCTATAACCATCAGAAAGTAAATGTAACAAATTTCAATATTAGACAAACTCTGACAATGTAAGAGAAATCACGTTTTTATGATGTATATTTGGTATGAAGATTGCTTAAGCTGTAATGTCCATCAATTTTCTTTCATTTGGAACATTTTTGCAAGGCAGTAGTATGTAGATTCAAAAGAATATGATCTCTATAGCAAATTTGCTTTTCATAAAAATATGATTTTTGTGATAAAAGAGTGATTTTATTTGTAACTATTTTTTCTATAGACAGATTTCATTATTTTCTAAAAGTTGTTCTCCAAAAACTACATACAAAAATCTCAAGAATTAATGTCTTGCATCTCTTGACGGCTTGTAAGACAAACAAAACCAACAGGTTGATGTAATCTTTGTTACAATATTTTTCTAACCATTTTCTTTATTTCTTCAAAAAAGTAATAATTCCAGAAGTAATGGATTACCTGATTCATGAGCAAATACAATATAACTGCACCTCTGAAGTCCTGTAATGTTGCTTCTGAATGCATCTGCATCTATGCCTGAAAAAATGTCCCGATAACTTTTAAATGGATTTATTGCACTACAAATTCAACATATTAATTTAATTTTGAGCTGATTCACATTACTGGAATTTATCATTCAGAATAACCAGATCAGACTGAGAGTTTTAGTTGCACTTAGAGCTTAATACATATTTATTATGGAAATGTGTATTGTAAGATATAATTTATAAAGAAAAATGATATTTCTAATATATATGACTGCATTCTGACAAAAATTATATATATATATTAAATATTAATAATTATGGGATATTTCAGTCAGTTTGTAATGCTCATGGTTTTTGTTCTGAATAAAATTTCACCATTTAGTTGCCATAAACAGTAAGGGGATCAAAATATATTATTTCATCAGAAGTCTTTGCAGATTTAGGGATATTTGGCCATATAAATTCAAATTGAAATACATGCAGTTAGGCATAGTATACAGAGTGTTTAAATGGAGTTTTAAAAGATACTGCTGTGTTAAGTAAACAACAAAAATGTATTTGTATCTGTGTTTTTGAAAGAAGCTGAAAGATTTAAGTTATGAATTTCACAAAGTTGCAAGCAGTCACTGAAGAGTAGCCCACAGAAGTAGGCAAAAATCAGATGTGGTTGAATTTTTGTTAATTCTTTTTAAGAATTTTACTTAATGACTATTGTTGTTAGTTACTAACAATAAAGGTTGTTAGTTGTGAACAGTGAGGATAAAATACTCATACAAATAGTAACTAAGACAATGGTGATTGATTATTACTTAGCAGTTTACAAAGCAGTTATTACTAAGTTGTTATTATTAAGTTCTTATTAAGTTATTATTACTTAAGCATTTCTTAAATCTGTATAAATTTTTAGAGATAAGTATCTCTTTGAAATCTTTTACCAAGTTCATCTTAAATTACGAGATTCAATGCTCAGCAGAAGTACGTCTGTTGAACGGAGTCAAGTTCTGCAGCTATTTTTACTGTTGGATTCAGCATCCAGAAAAACCTGGAAAATAGGTGTTCATTCTTTAAAGTAGAGCTTAAGTCATGAAAATAAGACAACATGAAATTTTGTAGTGTCATTATACAATGTTTATATCAATATTGGATTGACCTTAAATGATTGCATCCCTCAACTTTTTTTCACATATTTTGAATAAAACCAAACCTAGAACAAAATTTAGCTCAAAGGACAGATTTTTTTTTTTCTTCTCAAAATTACTTATGACTCAACCTATCCGCAACTTCCTGAGTTAGCCAAGGCTTATGTCTATGTTTTACACACATTCTAAAATTGCCAGGCAATTTCTTTGCGTTCATGTTTTACTGTTCGCAGTCCTTACAAATACCCATACTGAACTTGAAAGAGGTATCAAATGAATTATTAATGACCACTCCGAAATTTGTCTTTCATTTTCAACTATAATTAGGAAAACGTACATGGCAGCAAAAATATTTGAGTACAGTTGTAGTATTTGTTCTCCCAAATCTGCCTTTTTTTTACATTCTGTGGATTAAATTTATATTCTTCCAGGTTCCTAGTTTTTGTAGTATTAAATTATGGTTGAGAAAATGTATTTACAATGCATATCACACTTGCACATTTTTTATTCTCTTCAGGTGCAATCTGCATATGTCATGTCTGTTTTTCCAGTGGCCTCAGGAATATATAATCACTCATCGGCAATGTTATTTGCTTTTTCCTTTAGGGGCTGATGTTATCAATTTTGATGGCCATGTAGTGTTACCATACAGATTCAGGAACAAGAAAATGAAAACACTGAAAGATGTCATCTCTCTGAAATTTAAGACCTCTGAAAGCGAAGGTGTAATCTTCCATGGAGAAGGACAGCAAGGAGACTATATCACCTTGGAACTGAAGAAAGCCAAACTTGTTCTAAATTTAAATTTAGGTATGGTTTGATTGTTTAGTTTTGTGGTAGTTTTTAACTCTTCCACAAAAATTTTAGGTCAAATATTTCATCTTCTTTCTCACAGTAATATGATAAGCCACATCATTTAATAAAATAATTTGGTGAAAATATTGTTAATTCTCTTTCTATATGTTGAGGGTTTTTTCTCTCCTTTTTTATTTTGTGTGACATACTCTGAAAATGAGATCATATAGAAAAGCAGGTTCAGCAATATATTGCCTTTACACAAACAACAACAAAAAAAAGCTTGCTAGAATTATATTTGGCCTCAGCTGTGGCTTTGTGTGAGAGGACACTGTCATCACTTCTAGAAGAATAAAGGTCACCTTTAGGAACCTCATAGAAAAAAAAAGTACCAATCTAGGAAGCTACAGGCCACATGATGTTCAGCAACCTTTCTAGAGTGTGCGAAGTAGGAATAAGAAAGGAAAAGAGAAAGATTACTTTATCAGGCAATCTTATGATGAAATCTTGTATATGTTACTTTAATTCCAGCATCCTTTTTCCCTCCCAGCTAAAGACTACAGTCTCATGAGTCACTGGATTTATAAAGTACATTTATTATGAAAAAAATACACATTTATCTGGTTTCAGGTATTTTTTCCCTTAAAAAAAAGAACCCTAGAAAAAAATTTCATGCAACTTTCCTTAGTTCTCTTGCAGACATGTGAAGAGGAAATTGTTCCATTCATTATTTACATTGAATAGTACTTATTTCCACTAGCACTTTCTCCTACTCTCCTTATAACAATCAATATGAACAGATGAGGAGGAGGAAAGCACATATTCTTATAGTAGTTATGTATTCTTAACAATTTTAATTGCAGTAGTAACCCATTCATTTCAAGTTCCTCTGTATTCTTTAGTTCAGTCTGTCTTTATAAGCTATGATAACTTCTATATATGTGCTTCGTGAGGATGTTCTTAAATCACTAGGCTGATAAATAGGACTAGACCAATAAATGGGACTAGGCCCTGTGACACACCCTCACTCAATAAACAGAAGAAATACTTCATAGTATTATTCTTCCTCTGCCTGAGAGTATTGTCTTTGCACCAGAGACAGTAAAAAAGGATGTTCATCTTGGCTGGTGAGATCCAGTGACTTAGTTTCAAAAATCAGGGCGCAGGGGAAGGATGAGGAGACAGAGGTGGATTTAGGTTTCGCTTTGCACTGGATTTGACTTTGCATTGAAGAAACTGAGGCTCAACAACATGCATGAAATTTTATTTTATCTTTTAACCAACAGGATCAGTGGCCTTCAGCATAAAGGCCATATGGTCATTTGTAGGCAAGTAATGTCTTAAGCCATGGCAGTGTGATTTGCCAGAACGTTTATCAACATGCACAAACCTTAATGTCTGAGTTGCAAGTATACTTGGTGGTAAGAAATTCACAGTCTCAGAAATGCTTTAGGTCCTCATGCATTCAGAACATGGAAGATTGCACTGAGTTATTGGGTAGTGCAGCAATTTTTTAGACTTACTGCTGAATTAGTCATTTGCTGCTTCAGTTGAGATCCATGCTATCAACCTTTGCTGGCTTAGCTGTGTCAGTCAGATGGCAACGAGATGTGATCTCTGACTAGCACAGCTGCACTGGCAACCCCCCCTGGAAAGCAAAACTGTACTCTTGCTGGTAGTTTGACTTCCAGAATAGGGAGATTGCTGCAGGAGGAGAGATTGAAATAAGCTGTATTAGCAGAAGATGTTTTTTGCAGCTGTTAGCTCAGTCTGCATTGAGCCTTTTCCTGTCTGCTTGCTGGTATACTGTACTGGCAGAGGCCACAAAGCATAGAACTCAGAGTGAAAAGGCTTGTTGTTGCCAAAGACTTATCAGACTCCATGTCCTCCTCAATAGTCATAAATCAGTACAGTTCCAATGCAGCTCAGGACATGGCCCAGAGGTAACAGCTTTTCATTTCTGTAGTGTAGGATTTAAAACACAGGAACCCCATAGTTGAAAACAACTTTACAGCTAGAAGTTGATATTGCTTCTCTGATTTGCCTCCAAATAACTACTATTATAAATTCATATATATTTATACAACGCAATGATCAGATACTTGCTGTATTTGGTCTGGTTATTTGTATTTATGGCAGCAACTCACCACTGGGCAGAACTCAACTTCATAGCAAAGTGACTTTCTCCAGTTTATTGTATATCTGTATATCCAGTTTATTGTATATCATGTGAAATATTGACAGAGCAAGGGGAAAATGTTTGTCTAACTGGTATGAGGTGAGAATTGCTATTGTTTCTGTTCTCAGGCAGCAACCAGCTTGGGTCCATTTATGGTCACACATCTGTGATGACAGGCAGCCTCTTGGATGATCACCACTGGCACTCCATCGTCATAGAGCGCCACGGGAGAAACATCAATCTCACCCTGGACAGACACATGCAGCACTTCAGAACCAATGGAGAATTTGATTACCTGGACCTGGATTATGAGGTAGATAGTGAAACTTCTTTATTTTCATTCAAATTGGTTTTATAAACATAAGTCCAATAAGAAAAAAAAACTAACACAATTTAAGATGTTTTGGTACTTTTTTTGTACCTCTGTTTTAAGTATTTCTTCCCTTACATTTCCTGAAATTTTCTTTCCAATGGTGTTCTCTTCTAAGTGTAAATTATGTTTCTGTTCATTAGCCTACCAAATCCCATCTGGAGTAACAGTAATCCTAGGCCTTTTTTTTTAAAGTGTGAGATCTGTGCTATTCAACAAGCTAAGCATATATGACTTTTAAAATCTCTGAAAGCAGCTGCTCTAACAAGAAAGTAGATTTTTAAAAAGTATGGTACAATCTGTTATTGCACTCAGGTGATAATTTTGCACTTGAATCTGAAAGCATTATTCTGTGGTGACAATATTTACTTTAAGTAAATGAAGCAGATTAGAACTTTTTACTAATATGGATCTTGATCTGTCTTATCTTAGGTAGACGCTTCCTTGTATTTCCATGAATATGGCATCAGTAACTTCTTTTTATAAAGAAGTAATAAAGAGCTAGGAAAGTTGTAAGAAAACTTATTTAATCATCCAGGTTAAAGCACACAACTCTGGGTAATAATTAAATGTGGATTTGTTGTTTGATTACACTCTGGCTTCTACAATTATGAACTTGTTCAGTTGCTCAAAATTGTTACATGAAGTTCAGCATGTTGGTTATTGCAAACTTTGTATAATATTAACTTGCACTCTTTGCTTTCTAATGATAATTAATGTGGTTGGCCTAGCCAAATATGTAATTTCTACTCTTACAACTTATTAAGCAGTGAGAAGGAATCAAAATGATGTAACAGAAAAAAGTTTGATTTAACTTCTGTACTGAAATTTTTACAGACAATCTTTTGATCAAGAACATATGAATGTTTGAGAAAGTTACTTATGATTGTGCTACTGATTCAAATATTTACTTATATTCCAACAAATCTTTACAGATACATTCTTTTCTAGCAGTTATAATGAGAAAATAATGAGCAAATGTGCTTGTACCTCTATTACTTACTGAGCACTGGAGATTTGAATTGAGCTACTGAAAACTCACATAAATAGACATTCAAGTGAGTGAGCTACAGAAAATGTTAGGCTGAATGCAATATACCAGATTTGGGCAATTTTTTGCATATATATGTGTGTGTATATATACAGATATATGCACACACATATATATACACATATACATGGAGCATGTTTACATAACAAATATATTCCATACAATAAATTTATCCATAGTAACAGTAGAATTCAGTTAAGTCACCTTCCCATACTCTCTGACCTTGAGAGACCTCACTGGCAGTTCTCAAAGGTACATTTCATTCTCTGTATACATGGATCCCCTTGTGTTAAAGGAATTTATTTGAGTGTGTGCGTATATGTTTCTGTGGTTCATATAAACTCAAGAGCCTTAACCTCTTCTCCTTTCTTTCTTCTCAATTATCTCACTGGTTTTGGAGTCAGTCATCAGAATAAATTTATGTGTGTTGCCTTTGTGATTAACAGTGGATTAACCTGAAAGAATCAAAACAACTTCTCACAGACAAAATAGTTTCTAGGTTAATCTCTTTCAGAAAAGTTGACACAAAAGAGGAATAAACATTAGTTCTGATTGCATTTTCAAAGTCAAAAAAATAATCCTGTAAGTTGCTCTTAACTCACTGTCATGGTATGTGTTTTTTGCTATTTTTCTTCTTTTCTATAAAATTCTTTCTCTTCTATTTTGTCTCATCCAAGTCTTTGAGTGGTTGTCTTCATCTTTATGTAGCTGATTTGGCCTGCTAAATCATGTGGTAACTCCTCATTGACTATAACTGCATCATAAAAGCATGTTCTCCATAGTAGAAGATCCTTCTGTCTAACAGAGGATAACATCTTTATGTGATTCTGTAAATTCTTCTAGATGAAGCAGATATATAAGAATTAAGGGAAAATAATGTACTGTATTGGAGCCCACCATTGCTGTGCTGTAGTCTGAGCTCTGGCACATGGTTAGAGCTAAATTAATCATTTGAATCAGATTATCTGGCTAATTTCATGTCTACTTTTGTTTAGAAAAAATACTGGGATGGACATTTATGCCAATTTCTTTGTTTGAAATGTATATTGTCTGGTAGCAATCAGAAGAGTAGTTCATATATGAACAACCGTGATGTATGTCTGTTCACAATTTGGACAATTGTAATAATACTTGGGATTTCCTACCATAAATATTTGCAATCACAAATTCATTACAGATATTTTTAGGCTTTTGCAGTGCTTATCTAATACACCCTTTTTCTTCTAACAGTGTAACCAGCTCTCTCATTTTCCACGTTTGAGTATGCAAAGAAAACAAATGCATCTACAGTAAATGGATTGAAAAGTCTTTGCCTTCTAGTAACTATATGCCATTTTCTATTTCATTCATAGATAACCTTTGGAGGCATGCCTTTTTCTGGGAAGCCAAGTTCTAACAGCAGAAAAAATTTCAAAGGCTGCATGGAGAGCATCAACTACAATGGCAATAATATCACTGACCTTGCCAAGAGGAAGAAATTGGAACCCTCGAATGTGGTAAGAGCATAATTTAATGGTCATCTGCACCTCTGCTTCTCCTTCTAAAGAATAGTAGAAGGTTTATGAGTGTGTGTAGCTGATATCCTTGTGGTATACTTGTGGTATACTGGAATAATATAGAACACAAAACAAATTTTACCACAAACCCAAAGATCTTATTGTATGTACATTTGTGAATTATTGTTGTTGTTATTATTATTATCATCCTCATCATTATCACATCTGAGCATTTTACTTCTGGGGTCTTGTTTCATATTTCCAAAATTAGCATCAGATAACTACTTTTTAAAAGAATATCAACTGAACCAGTAAGTACTTCTTTCTTTTCCTCTCAAATTATAGTAGTCCAAAACCAGTGCAGACAAGATCTATTATTAAATTCATTGCAGCTTTCTTGTGGCTTTTAATCCTGGTATATTCCATTCCTTCTGAGTTAGCTGGATTACTGGAGTGCAAAGTCTTTGTAAGGGAATGCTTCTACAGGCTTTTCTGGTAGGTCTGAAAAGCCTCAGGGTATTAGACTTGAAAATCATTGTTTTACTTATTAACATTGCAGAACTTATTATTAGCATTTTATTCTATTTTTGATCTTGCTTAAGTGTTCATAGTTGCTTTCATGTTCAGACTTCTGGCTTTACGGGCAGGGTGATTAAGAAAGAATGTACTTTAATTATTGTGGTTTTAAGGCTTTAAAACTCTGTTCCTGAAACTGCTTGCTGGCATATAAGGCAATATGGGTAAGAAATAAATGTATTATTGCCATGAGTTTGAGATGGTTTGAATAACTTTTCAAGGCTTTCTTCAGTACAACCTTACAGCCTTCACTAAGTCCTGCTAAAAATATGCAGGTTTCCACTACTGTTTTTCTCTTAATGTAATAAATAGTTATACAAACACAGCGATGATGTCATGTAAAGGATTGACTAACATTTAATTGCTCCTTGGATAGTAAAACTGAAGTTCCATCTGATTCTATAAACGCTAGGGCTAAATGGTCCAGAATAATCTTGAATGTGTGTTGTTTGCCAATACAAACTCAGTAATAGAGCCTGATATCTAGAACAGTTTCTGTATATGAATTTCTTCAGTGTTGTCAAAGGCAAAGAGCATGATATTTATGCCATGCAGTAAGACTCCAGTTTTAGAATTTTTTTGACCCATTCTCATGAACTCCTGTATCTCTGATGACTTTTTTGGATTTTTTTTCTTCAAAATTGCCTGTGCTTTACTTCCTGCAGGGTATTTTCAGCTGTATTGTAACCATGATTTCAAAGATTGATGCCTGATTTAGGAAAAGATCTTTGTATACAGTCTTTGCATTTTGCACGGTCGAACCCATTACAAGGTAGCGGGACATAATCTTTCTGAGCAGAAGTGCTACTTAAGAGGTTTCTGTATTGCAAATCCTATCCTTTAAAATCCTAGCCACAACTAGCAGACCTGTAAAGTCTCTGAAAAATCATCATTCTTGTTTTTATTTGTTTCTTTGCTTTTAAAATTCCGTTGCCCGTAATATGAAAGTAAAATCCTCAAAAAAACCCTTGACAATATTAGTGCTACATCAAGAGGTTATGGAATGATAGTTTAATTTGATGATTCTGTTGATTTCCAATTCTGAGAATGGCTATAAAAATAGAAGTGACCTTTGTTTTCAGTAGAATTACATTAATTGCTTCAGCCCTTCAAAAGTAAAATCAATTTTACTCTAAATCAAGATGAATTTTTATGATTTTTACAAAACCTTTTTCCCTCCTAGTTTTTAGCCTGATTTAGCATGCAAAAAAAGACTTGTTTGAAACTGCTGTTGTTGCTAAGCATTATTATGATAGTGGTACTTAAGCAATCCAACAGGGATCAAAGCTGCATTGTAGGAGATATACAAACTCATAACAGTAGTCACACCCTGTCCCAAAGAGGGCCAAGACATAAAAAAGTGTAATGAGGGTGAACACAAACAAAGTAAGCTGTGTGGTGATGAGAATATCATAAGGGAGGGAAAAATTCAGAGGAAAGAAGGATTTTAAAGACGTGTGAGACAGAAGAAAATAATATTCTTAGATGAAGATATTTGAATTTCAGAAGTCACACAGTGAACTAGACTTGACAAGTTAATTTTACAAAATGAGGAGGCCCAGAAAATCAGAGATGATGATCATTTGTCTCTGAAAAAAAATTAAATTAAATAATTATGTCTCATATACATGTGTATTACGAGTAAAGAAACACCTCCATGCATCTTTTAAATTTATTGAAGAGTAAGAGTGAAAAGACAAATTAAAAGTATTTTAAATCTAAAATGCAGTCAAACACTGACTTCAGTAATATATTTGTTTTAGATTTAGAGGGTAATAATAAGGGGTAAAAAGTTTGTGAGTCTTTTGTTATGTTTAAAATGGCAACAGCTCTTAAGGAAGACCAAGACAAAGGGATGGTCTTGAGCAGTTATTGTTCTTCTTGGTGGAGCCTGATTTGTTCTCACCAATGAGTCAGAAGAGAGTAACGGAGAAAAGGCCAGCTGAGACAGAGAATATCAGGTATCTGCTTTTCTCCTGAATCAAGTTGTAAACAAGAGTTGGCAGTGGCTGACTACGCAGTAGATGCTAACGTCTGTATGCAACTCGACTCAGGACTAAAACAGAAACAGGGAACATGCTAGTAAACTATCTTCCAGTCCATCTTTTCCATGTTTTTTAGTAAAATATAACAAGCTTTCTAGGACTTTCATTACCTTGCATAAATGAATAATATTGACCCTTGTACCAATACTGAGAAAAGACTAGGATATGCGGTTAACAATAAGTAGTACGGAGAAATTTGAGTGTAGGAATTTAGTCATTTTATCAGATTTTCCTACCTAGAGGTATATTAAGGGCAAACAATGTGAGTGCTAATTGTATTTAGTTTCCACAGAACAGTCTCTCCAGTTTTAAAGTCTGTAACTGAAAAATGCAGAGGGGAATCATATTTGTTATGCTCCATCCTTATATTCAGTAGGTCTATGCTTCACCCAATTCTGCCTCTCCTATGCCATGTACTATTGAGTGGAATAATATGCAAATTTAAGCTGAGTGTTTTATTTAAATTATTTATATTAACCAAACATCGTGTTAAGTTCAAAAATATGTAATAAGCTATTTTAAGAAAAATGCAGAAATAACACAAAAAACATTAGCATACAGCACATTGTCTGTACTTTATGAACCATCCTGATTTAGCAGGCAGCATAGTCTTAATAAACTCATTGCTTCTCTTTTGGGAACTGCCTATTTGGCCAGTAGGTTTATTAATTGGGAAAAGTTTTAAGACCCAGTAGTATTTACACAAGGGATAATATTTGAATTTGGATAAGCAAAATTGATTTATAAGAAGTAAACACGAATCTAATTTGCCGTACAGATTAAAGATTATGATACAAGGCTCAAACTACACAAAATCAGTTATTTTTACCTTTTCCCTATCAATGTATTTTGATAAGTTCTCTGATAAGACCAACAGTTTCAATATTAATGCACAGTATATATTTGACTTCCAGATGTCATTGTCCAGAGAACTATTCAGCGAGTCACTCTGAATCTACAGAAGAGGATCTCATTCTCTTTGAAAAATGGGGAGGCTATTATAGAGACAAGCTGCAGATTAATTTGAACTCTTGACCTAGAACTAGTGAGCAATCTATATAAGATGGACTGTACTTAAAAGAGGAGTCATCTTGTGAACTCCAATCATAGAAGGAATCAATAATCCAGTTCATATTAATCTGAATAGCTCAGTAGGGAAAATGCTAACTATCAAAGAAATTAGAATTATGTGTTACTTCTTCAAGAAACTTTTTATGCAGCTAGGCTGTCCATGTGAAATGCATTCACTGATGTGAAAAAGGATTTGAATCCATTCAGTGCCATTAACATTAATAGGTGTTATACATGCAAGTATCCAAAACATCAGCATGACAGAAGACTATCAATTGAGTACAAAAGCCTTCTTGTAACAAGGAAATTGTTAGTTCCTCTCGGTAACAAGGCAGCAAAAGAAACTCAAAATGTCTAACAGAATGCTCTCTGAGCACCTCTTAATTGGTATCTGTGACTGAACCATGAGATGTCATCTCTTAAAAAATGCTGTTGCCTTCTCAGTCTACACAGCACTGCCTTAACTATGTAACAGAAGTTGTTTCTAATTGAGGGTGACATTACACTGAGAATGATAACCAAGGGTTACAGACAGTCTGGACTTATTTTTATAATTGCTGTCCTGTTATAAGTTTCTATGATGACCATGGACAACCCAAGTTTATCTGTGATTCATTTATTTGTCTTTGAAGTGGAAACATTAAAGTTTTCATTCCAGTCTTAGATTACAACTCTTCAGGCCAAAGTCTACCTTTTATTTTGCATATGTACAGTACAAAATATAATAGGGCCACTGCTAGAAAAAACAGAAAATCAGCAACAACATTATAATAGTAACAATAACAATAATATTAATAGCACATCTTTATATGCAATCTGCATTGATTATAGTAGTCTCTAGGCTGAAAAAATCTGGAATACTTTTCTAAGGTACTATGAATTTAGTGTAATCTTACAATTTTGCTTATATTTTTGCTTCTTTCTTTGTGTTTTATCTAGGGAAATTTAAGTTTTTCTTGTGTGGAGCCACATACAGTGCCTGTCTTTTTCAATGCCACCAGTTACCTTGAGGTTCCTGGTCGTCCAAGCCAGGATCTGTTTTCGGTCAGCTTCCTTTTCCGAACCTGGAATCCAAATGGACTTCTTGTCTTCAGTAACTTTGCGGATGACCTGGGAAATGTTGAAATTGATATAAACGAAGGCAAAGTCAGTGTCCACATCAATGTCACCCAAGTGAAGAAGAACCGGATAGATATCTCATCAGGTAAGTGTGAGGTGTTTTTTTTTTTTAAGTTTGGTATCATTTTTGTTGGTGTTGTTTAAAAGCATCATGTACCTAAAACTTAAAACAATCATTTTACAAAATTTAAAATTTATATTGCAACTGCATTAAATCCTTTATTGTATGTTTTGCTGAGTAAGAGATCTAAGAATATGAAACAGTTGTTAGATTAAAAAAGAAGATATACTTCTGTGTAAATACAGTGATTAAGACAAGTTACATAGAATGCTGTGGGAAAACATTTGGATCAATTGTAAGTGATTCACTGGAATCATGAAGCAGACATTGCTTTGCATTTAAAATCACAGAAATTGAGAGTTGCCATCAGATAGTCTGTTCTTAGCAGTTTTCTTTGTCTCCTATAGATCCTTCCCTGCTGTCTGTTCTGTATTTGTCAGGGATCATTTTTTCACAGTGCTAGCAGATCACAGCAAGAGTGCTTATGTCCTATTGAATGTTCTCCTTTGGTCTTCCAATAGACACTTAATTGTTCCTTCATTTATTTAACTGCACATCCTGCCTCCTGAAGATTTCACTGTATTTAATTTTTCATTAAATTCTCTGTTTCCTGATCAATCTTTTTCATCTTTATTGACAGGATAAGTCATCTCAGTACTTTATTCTTGGACTATGTAATATAAAAATTATACTGTTAAAATTATGAAAATGGTTTTGTGTATCTGAAGCTTCTGCACTTATTGTTTGGAGGTCAAAATTATCTTTAGCCTAAGTATGAGATATTCCTGTCTGTCATGCCTTAGTTCCCTCTCTTATTCTATTGTTACTGCTTTTAAAATGCCACAGGTAGTTGATGTTAGCATTAGCAATGTCTAGATAACTTTCTATAGATCACTTCTTTTTTTTTCCAACATCCATTTTATTTTCTTCTTTAATGATACTAGATACTGTTTAACTTGTGCTCTGTTTGTGCCTTCAGTTACTTTCAAACCACAACCTCAGTTCTATACATTTGATTAAAGTAGTTAAATCTATCCGTATTATGAAAATTTGGTATTCATTTTATATGTGCTGAAACAAATCAGAGATTATTACATATCTTATAGTCTAATATGTCTGAATTCTGTGTTACAAATGAAAAGCAACGGACTTGTGCTGAACTGGCAAACCAGAATCTCAGATTTTATTTGACCTGTCTGTAACTTTTTTAACAGTGACCAAACAACTAGTACATGCCCTGTCCTGGACTTCAGACAGGTGAATGGTAGAGACAATAAAGAGAAGGCAGAAAACAGTAGTAAATTTTTTACGTCAGTAAGATGTACACTCTGATGTCCCTAACAAAATACTGAGTGAAACAGAATATTTTATGTTAATGTGCAGTTGAGCCTTCAGTTTGTAGTACATATGAAAGGGACAAAAGAGATTAGTCCTTGTAGTTAGAATTACTGTCTGATTTTGCTTACTGAGCAAATTATTTCCTTTTTTTTTCATAGTCTTGCCAATTGGACCTTCAAAACAGGTCTCTAAACAGTAAAAAATTCCTTCCCTACCCTACCCTGCCCAGCATTCTGTTAAGCATTCAGTAAGCACTGTTTACCTGTGAACAGACTGGCAAAACTGTTTTACAAAGTCAACAACTTTGATTTTATTTTTTCCTACATTACTCTCATTAAGACACTACTGCCATTTGATTGATGAGAGTTATGTTAATAAACTTGCTGTTAGTAAGCAGAAAATCAGGTCCACTGAGACCTGAAATAAAGTTTTAATTAGAAAAATAAGCTACTGACTGTGCAGAATTACACAGGTGAAATACTTAAAGCTTGTGTATAAATCAAGAGTTAAACATGTTATTGACTTTTTCTCTGCAGAGTAAACTGTGATTAATATCTTCACAATTGTATATGTCCCAGAATAGGGATTAATAATAGGAGAGAATCTCAGAAAACTGTCAAGAGATTTATCTTTACTGCTCCATATGGTTTTGACTAAATTCTGCTTTTGTCACTATGAGATTCACACAAACTCCCTAGAACTTGTTGGATTTACCCAAGGGATTGATGGAAACAATGCCAGGCTGAGAAGATGGAAGAAAGAAGTGTTCTTGCTTTTAGGACTTTTTAGAAGAATATTTCCAATATAGTTTTGCATACTAAAGGATTGTGATATTCTGCTACAGTTTAAAAGTAATTTAGTTTAATATAAACTACCTGTTTACCCTAAGAACCTACTTAATATTTGTGATCTTGGAAGAATAAGTTGCTGTTGAAGTTGTATTTATTTAAAAGCTTTAACAAGCTAGTGTCTTCTTTCTTGAGCACAGAAAAACCAGCAACTGTAAAATGTCCTACTCCTAAATCCCTCTTAGCTATAAAAACTTTTATGAAACTTTTCCCAAAGCCACATGCAAATGCTGTTCAGAGCAGGGTTAAGCCACAGCCTGTGTCCCAATCGCCTCCTTTTCTTCCACTTAGTTTTATCTACCTCCTTCAGCAACTTAACCCAAATACCTTCCTAATGAAACCAAACTTTTCTGAGGCTTTCAACATGGGAAAAAATTGGTAACTCATTAACAAACACATAGAGTATTGCTTTGCTCAAAGAAACAATAGTAACATTCAAAAAAATACTCATGAGGAATCATCTAATTGCTTTACAATGTTTTTTTTAAAGCAACCTCCAAATTCCTGTTTGAATATAGAATAGAACTTCTCTGCCTCTGGAGAAAAGGTGAAGTTTCCATGGTGGCAGATTCGAAAATAATTTTGATTTATGCTTTGTTTACTTTCTCACTTGTCTTTTCATAGCCAGCTTTGACCTTTCATATTTAAACATTCTCTGCTCAACTTAAATACTAGAGGATCTATGAAGCTCCCTTGGATTTTACCACACAATACAAATGATAAGTCATTAAAAAAGGACATAATCTCCCTCGGACCATAATATCTTAACAGAAAAATTTTCAGTGTCGAAAATCTCCTTCCTTTAACTCGAATTTATCTGCTTGCAGCTCCTTTTTTTCCTGTTCCAACTCTATTAGTTCACATCTTGTATTAGCTGCTACTCAAGACTTCCTTCAGTTCCTCCTGTCAAGCATAAACTTATTAGAACTTGGAATATGAACATCTTTTTGTCATATTTATCTGTATTAAATAAATCAGACTTCTCCCTGTGGAATCTCTGGGAAGCTTTCCACCCTTCTGTCTTTCTGCTAGATCTCAAGTCATCTGAATTGCAGTTCATTTATATTTTAGACCTTGGGTTAAGATAGCATCCTTCAGGCAATAAAATGTCTCTCTATGACAGATCTAAAGTGGTACTCTTCCAGTGACAATTCCCAGGGGCACTTTATGTGGGGATCGAGAAGTATTTTTGCCTGGATTGCTAAATGAAGGCTTAAATAGGGAACGTGTATACACAGAGCAAAAGTGCACTTCTGGTGGGAAGATAACATTTCCCACTAGGTCTTTCTCATATTCCTGGTACTGGGTTATACACTGAATGTTAGTAAGTAGAGGCAGATACCCGCGAGGCACTTGTCAGCATGATCGAGATGAGAGACAGAAATTCTGTCCATGAAAGGCACATGATGACTTAACATCAGAAGAGTCTGAATGTTAGAAAATTAAATTCTTCACAGCCAGTTTTGTCTCTCTGTTTCTCTCTGTATGTTTATTTTTGGCTATTGATCTTAAGCAGTGAATGCAACTGCATGAATAAATATTTGCATTTTTGAATTCCACAGAACTGAGACACAGGTATGCTTATAGTAGTTATTATAATTTTTACAGTACATTTTTCTTGTAGTCTGTTTTAGCATCCTGGTACAGTAGACTCAAACCAATCAGAGCAAGAAATAGAGTTCTTGATTGCAGACTCTATTTTGCCTAAGAAAACTCATGAGTTTAGTTCAGGTTTTTGTGAATTCCACTTCATCAGTCACTGATTTTTGATGGAGAGTTGCCTACAAGCTATGCATTCTAAAACACAGATGTACCATTTTCAGATATGTCCCTGAGAGTAATTTAGCTGTTTGTTGGTTGTACTGGTTCCTTGCAAACATGGAGGAACCCCAGAATCAAGAAAGTAGGGTGCTCCCCTGGACAAGTTTCCTAAATTTATCCAGGAGACTGAAGTTCAGTTTACGTGTTTTGACCTCATTTCCTCTGGGCTGTAGAACAGAGTTAGAGAGAACCTTTGCTAGTCACTCTCTATATTAGGAGCTGAAGATGAAATAAGTCTCTTTACAACTACTATTTAAGCATTGAATTTTCTTCAGGGAAAAAAAAAACAAAAACAAAAAATTAGTAGTTAAATGATAATTTTAACTTGCTGCTCAAATGAGTGTAATTTATGTGAGAGGATCTGGACGATACTAGTTGGAAACTTACCCTTCTAACTTTTTTTTTTAATTCACTAGGTTTACAGGAAGTGGAATCATTTTAGTTGCTTTCTATGTTACCTTTTCCTACTGCGACCACATCAGTTATTGCTAGTTTGGTTCTAGTCAAGTCTGAAAATTTTGATTTTGACTGATGAATGAAAGATAAGCCCCTTAGCTCTGAATGCTACAGAGGTGCCTAGTATTTTGAAGTTACTTTAGTAAGAACATAGATTTTTACTTCAGTGGATTCTATCTGCATGTTTTTGTGGAACACCAGAGAGCATGAAGAGACATGTCATTAACACTTGGTTTAGCAAGCCAAGGATGTTTAGTTAAAACAAGCACTGCCTCTTGGACCAGAAAGATGGTGATGTTGGAAAGGACATTGCAAAATACACTTTTGTTTGCATTTTAAACTCTTCCAGGTCTTGCATGTTCTGATTGACATGAATTTGGTTTTTTCCATTATTACTTTCCTTTTAGATTAGTTATAAAGAACTAAACAAAAGGATATGACAGAGTCAGAAGCCATAGTTATATTTGTTGTGTTTATGCACAACCTGACAGCAGTATCCCCAGGACAACCCTGAGTATTCATATAATATAAAGGAAATTAATGGAATGTTTTCTAATATCC